TTATATCTTCGAACCAAAACAACCATATTACAAGCCTCCAAATTATTTAGTTAAGTTGGTATGAAAAGCCCTTCACTAATAAACAAGATAGAGCCAATCTAAAAAATATGTATTTGATCCATACTTTCACTACTCAAGATAGTTAAGAAGAAGCAACCTTATGATCTCTTATTAAGGCTAAGAATCATGCTTGAAACTAAAAACTCCTTCAATAATCACTCTAGAGCAAAGATGGTTTGCACGAGATTTAGCTTAAAATTAACTATAAATGATATAAACACGTGTGTATCTTTATTGTCAATATGTTAATAATTCTCATAAATAAACAAAATTTATATACTTTTAGAAATATTATATTTTTTTGGTAACCAATTAAAAATTATAGCAATAGTTAATATTAGTTGAATCCAATCGTAATTTGACCCAATATCACTTTTGTTCCTTATTCAAACTTGGATCAATGTTAAAATTAAGTTGGCTTGCTCAACTCAATATCAACCCTTTAATATTGTCAAAATAGGTTTAAAGACAAATTAAGGTTAATTTAGACATAGAATTTTGATTAACTTAACCCACATCAATTAAATGTAATAATTAGTGAAAGTGTTTTCCTCCTTGGAGAAATTCAAATTTTAGATGAATATCAAAGAGAAATTTGGCAAACCATCAAACTATATGTATTTCAAACATGCTTTCAGAATCAAATTAGAAGTTAGTAGGCAATTGATGATCATTGCATGCTTCTAAGACTTTGTCGAAGTGGCCATACTACATGACTCTGGCTAATTTGGTTATGTTGGTATGATAAGCCATCTTTAAACAAGTTAAAATCAATCTCAAAAAGATATGTATTTGATGCATTTTTTCATCATGATCGACCAAAGAAAAGCAGTAATTATCACTAGAAGTTATAGAGTTAAGGCTAGTAATTATGTTATAAATTGAAAACTCGTTTAATAATCGTTCAAACTTTAATCAATTAGAAATTGAATTATACATGCTCTTATTTGAAAATGACTTGCTTGAAATAAATTTGATGTATCTCAAAACCAATTCAATAACTTATGTATGTATGTATGTATGTAT